GACCCCTCCTTGGGTTTCCGAGGCAGTATCACTACAGAAGTAGGAATGCCCAACCTTCCTTCCGAGGAGTGGCTGGTGGGTTTGAACCGCCAGCCCTCTGGTTAGCAGTCAAGTGCCTTAGGCACTATGCTGTCCAAGCTATAGCTATGTTTTTATTGGATACTGATGGTACATCTGTGTTTGTCACTATTATAAATTATCTGTAGCATCATTTTGTATTATACATCTTTAGTGTTTTCTTAGAGTAGATTTCTAGAGGTGAAATTTTTTACATAAAGGAGATGAGTATTTTAAAAGGAATTATTTTCATATTTTTTGCTGGTGTGTTTACCAAGTCTTACAGCTTCATAGTTCTGAAACCAGTTACTGATACTGGTGAGGTGGGGAGTCCCTTGTATCTATCTCTCGCTGGTGGCCCTGTTAGTAGCCTGGCATCCAGAATAATCTTCTCTCACTGCCACTAACAAAAGTGATGATTCCTGACTCTGGTGGCTGAATTGCCTTCCTTGTTATGCAATAGTGTTGTCATGCGGTCCCCAGGGCCACTATGACAGTTGCAGCCCTTCCTTCTTGGCAGACATTAAAAATTATATTTTCCAACTGAGATGGTAAAAAACAGAACCTTGGCTGGATTTGTTGTTATATATTCATTATTGCACTATGCATTTTTCTTCTTATTTTAAGAGAAATTAAAATGGAAGCATTTACCAGGCTCTGCAGGTATCCTGGGTCCCTGGGACCTTGCCTTCCGGCCCTACAATGCTTGGATTTTAATAAGCTGAGAGTGGCATCTTATTGTTTTCCTTTGTACTTTTGATAATGAGTGAGATCAGATATTTTTAATGTTTTTAATACTAATCTTCTTAAGAATGATTTGTTTTCCCTTGGCCCTGCTCCATTGAGGTCTTCATTTTCTTTCCCTGTCCATCTCTTACTTTGTTATGGCATCTTTAATGTACAGATGTTTTCAAATTCTATGTAATAAAATCTATTTGATTTTTCCCTTTATAGTTTTCCTTGTTTTGACTCTTAGAAAGCTTCTTCCTCTTTTCTGAAGAATTCTGTGGCTCCATATTTTTGTTTTGTTTTGTTTTGAAAATAATTTTATTATAAATATTTCAAACATATAGTATGGAGAACAACATAATGTACCCCATAAACCTATTAACCGTATATCTCTAACCCAATGGTTATCAAGATTTGTCCATACCAGTCATCTGTTCCCCTTTTCCTTTTTTTTTTTTTTTTTAATTGTGATTTGGGTGAAAGTTTACAGAGAAAATTCACTTTCTATACAGCAG